AGAGGCATGACTCATCAGGCCCCTGTGGTGCTGCACCTGCCCACTGCAAGCTTGGTCCCTCACCTCTGCCTTCTGCACTGGCTCTAGGCCTCTCCTAGGGTCCTGAGTGCCCCACACATCCTGTTCTGTCCCGGCTGGACTCTCCCCACTGCCACCGCCCCGATGCTGTACTACTGGGGAGCTTCTGATGTCTGCTGTTGAACCCGAGAGCAGATACCGTATCCCGTGGAATCCCTAAGACAGGAGAGGGATAAGCATCAGTGGAACTGGCTGCCACGGCGCAGACCCGTGAGCAGACAGCGCCACCTGTTGACCCAAATATGTACCGGAAAGGGGCTTCGCTGTCCTCGGAGACAGTGGTCTCGTTTTCCAGTTCTCCCAGGGTTTCCACTCCACACAAAACCTAGCCATGAAAAGGACTAACGTATCTCTGGATGTTATGTACGTTCTAAGTGCCTCCATTTTAACTTAACAAATTTAATTTTCCCAGCTACCCAATCAGGTAGGCACCTTTGACCATTTTGTGGATGGGATAGTTGAGGCACAAAGCAGGCCTCACTGCCTGGGAGGGGTGGGAAGCTGGGTGGGGCTTCTCCCTTTATCTCCCTCCTTACCCCAGGTACAGAAAAAAGAGAATGTGGAAACAATGGTCTTACCCATTTTCCTGTAGCCCTTAACTCTTTGTGCCCTAATCAACTAAGTAATCAAAATAAAATATTTTTTTAAAAAAAATTTTAAAAGCAGGCCTCACTGAAGAGCACAACGAGTCACACACAGGAGTCATGTATGGGATCACCTCACATGAGGTTTCTCTGGGGACCCTCCCAACTGAACCACTGGGCTCAGAACTCCAACCGCAGGGAAAATCGCAGGATCTTTGGTGTGACCATGGAGTGCCTGTGTCAGAACTGGGTCCCCTCAGGAGCTGAAGAGTGCAGTGGGCAGCACGCCCAGATGCACAAGGTGGGTATGGCAGTTCACTGGGGCCTGCAGAGGGCGTTCAGTACCACAGCAGGGGATGGAGAGCAGAACATAGGACAGCTCTTGCAGCCAAGCTTTACCAGCAAGTAGCTGGGTGAGTGGAGACTAAGGCGGCCTGTGTCAGCCAATGGAGCTGGGAAGGATTTCCTCACCCTTGGAGTTCAGGCGATGGAAACCGCTTGAGCAGCATCCTCAGAGCATGCGCCACCTCGGGGATCCCGGGGCGAGATCAGGTTGCTGTGCCCCATTCTTGGGTACCGGGGCGGTTGGGATGCTGGGCACAGCTTCGCCCCTTTTCTTCCCGCTGCCTCCAGATACAGGAAGAACATTGGAAATCATGATCATTCACTTTCTCCTATCCCTTGACCCTCCCACCCTAATCAGTGCTCCTCAAGGGCTTGCATCCTTCTCAACTATGTAAACATCACCAAAAATAAAATTAAATAAAAAGCAAGCTTTTTTTTTTCTTTTTGAAAATGATCCCAGTGAAGGAATATCGGTGGAAACACACAAGTCCAGGGGCCAGAGGCATGGCATAGCAGGTCATGCCACTGCCTGAGACGTCACTGGCACCCCACACAAGCTACATGTTGAAGTTCGGGCAGCCTGACTCCCAATCCAGCTCCCGGCTCAAGTGCCTGAGCTAGCATGGGAACATGGCCCCAGTGTTTGGCCCCTGCCACCCACGTGGGAGATATTTCAGGTTCCTGGCCTCAGGCTGGCCCAGCCCTGGCTGTTACAGCCATTTAGAGGAATGAACCAACACATGAAAATCTCTAACTCTTTCAAAGACAAGAGAGGGGAACTCAAGTAGCCTAGGCTGAGCCCGCACTTGTAAGCCCCGAACAGTCTGCATCGGCCTTCTTTACTCAGCCTCCGATGACCTGGCTGCACTCCAGAACCTTCACCCCGAAGGCAGCTTTACAGGTCATCACAGTGGTAGTGGCATCCACCAAAATCCCCTTATCCACTCTGAAGGCTGCACAGCTCTCCAAAGCCATGGCTCCCTCAGGACAGACTCTTGGCCCCGCCTCGGTAAGACAGCCAGTGGGGCAGCAGACCCAGGCCCACAGGTCACTGCTCCACTTGGGTGTCCTGCACACAGCCTCCATTTCTGGACAGCCTTTTGGCTGCGAGGGACAGCTCCAACAGGACAGTCAGTGTGTGCAGTGAGCAGAGTGACTTGGGCACACAGAATTGTGGTGGCCACTGTTCAGCCTGCGTTGGGATCACAGACACGAAGTTGGGCCCATTCATTCATCCCGACATTGCCACTCAGAAGCAGAAGGTTGGGCAGTAAGAACCAGATTGGGTTGAAGGCCAGTCAGGAAAGGCCACTGCTCCTGCTAGGACAGGAGGTAGACTGAGCAGGGCTAGCTCATGGACCCACTGGTGTGCGTGAAATCTGGCACTGGGAGAGGTTCTGATGGAGGAGCCTGGGCAACTTCTCTGGCAGGACACAGTCCTTGCAGGTAAGCACAAGAAACATGATAGGAAACAGCCCAGAACAGGCCATGGACTGGCATACATTTGGCATGGGTCCGGGGCAGACCAGGCTGGACCAGTTCACGTCATCCACTGACAAATCCAAGCACCGGAACAGAGTGAGGGTCGAGCCAGGTTCAGTTGCTACAAAAACCAGTGAACATTACAGAATGGCAAGGTGAGGTTGCCTGTACCAAATGTGGCCACAGTGCCCAACCAGCACACGTGAGAACCAGGAAGGGAGGGGGCGGAGCCGGCAGGGGAATGCAGAGGGATCCCCTGCTGGACAGCTACTCCCACTGGAAAGCGTCAATTTGGATGGGGGCAGGCCAGGCCAGGAAGGGCTACAACACCTGCCGGCCTCATGTGAGCTAGATCGGGGAAAAGCTAGCTTGGGCTAACTGTTCCTACTGGTGCAAGTAAAAATTAGAGTGGATGAGGGTTGGTTGGACTTTGCCGCAGCATCAGCTGGCAGAGGATGGCACTGGGGGCTAATTCTGTTAAGTTAAACTCCAGAACCACCTGAAGAGGGCATGATCCGGAGTGGGAGAGGCCTGGGAGGGAAATAGTGGGCTCCTCCCTCTTGGGTTACCACTAACACGGGAGAGCATGAAAACCAGGACAGGGACAGAAATGGTTAGACAGAGAAGCACCCGCCAGTAAGTGTGTGGGCTGGATAGTAGGGCTGGTTGGTTTGAACTAGGCTTCAATGTCCATTGACATGTATGAGAGCTAATGGGATGTGGGAGACTGGACTAGTCTGCTACACAACCTGGCAAACACAGGAACCAGGGCAGAGGGCGGGCCTGGTGGGGGTTATGGGGAGTCACCCCAACTAGGCTGCAGCTCCCACTGGTTTACGTAAGGCCCGAGTGTGTACTGGGCAGAATCAGGCTGCACTGCAGCACCCATTGCTTTGCGTAGAGGACAGGGCTGGAGGCAGAACTGACCCAGTAATTACAACCACCAGCTGTTCGGGGTGATGGACTGTACCAGGCCCTGTACTTGCCAAGTACACACAAGAATCTGGACTGGGAACACCTCAGACTAAGTTTCTTTGGGGATGTCCCCGTTTGAACTGCCGGACTCAGAATCCTAACCATGAAGAGACAGAGGACAGAGCAAATCAACTACCCCAGCCACACATGCGCAGTAAAGAACTGGGCAAAAGCAGACTCTAAGTTGGACTATGTCAATCAGCGGATTCTGCAGCGATCTCAAAGAGCTTGTATTGATGAGATTGGCAGCAGCTCATAACTGTTAAACTATCAAAACCACTTGAGCTAGACCCTCGGAGCATGCCCCACATCAGGGGCCTGGGACCGGTGGGAGACTGGGTGGGGCTTCTCCCTTTACCTCCCCCTTTTCCCCAGACACAGGGGAAAAAAATGTGGAAATAATACTCTTACCCCCTTTCCTGTATCCCTTGAGCCTCTGTACCCTAATTAACTATGTAGATTGCAAAAAATCAGTTATAATAATAAAGAATTGTAGTAGGAACTTCTATTCAGAGTTTTTAGGTGAAACAAACGGCAGAAATTCTTGGATACACCCACTTGACGGTGACGTCAAGTCTGCGCCAGAGCTTGTGAGGGTTTCTGTGTAAAGGGCACAGCTTTCCCGCATTTGTCCATTATGATGCTGGAAAAAAAAGCAGAAGGTTGGAGACTCGCTTCCCAAGCCTCATCTACTTTTCATCCTCTTCCATTTGTGGACATGATGGTTTGCCTTCCACATGCCAGCGCCACTGGCTTTCCCAGGTGCATCAGGAGGGAGCCAGATGGGAAGCCGAGCAGCTGATACTCAAAAGCAGGGCTCCAAGGAGAAGCCAACACTGCAGACGGCAGTTTGACACGCTGTGCACAAACCAGCCCCCTCCACTCCTTTACCTTTTGAGTAGATAAAGAAATGAACAAACGTTTCACAAGAGATGCGGAAGAGGATCAGGGAGCGCGGGGCAGGGACAGGTTGGGCTGCCTGAGTGCCCACTTCCTGAACAGGACAGCTGGTTCAAATCCTGGCTACTCTACCTCCCATGTAGCTCCCTGGTCTGTTGTAGGGGGCAGCCAACGAGGTTCTGGCTCTTGGGCACCAAACCAGGCACCCCATGGGAGACCCCGACGGAGTTCCCGGGGTCTGGCTGTGGCCCAGCAGCTGTTGTAGACTTACTGGAGTTATTAACCAGCAGATGGAGGATTTCTTGGTTTAGCTTAGCCTTTTTTTCTCAAGATTTTGCTAGTTCATTCCCCACATGGCTAGAGCTGAGCTGATCAAAAGCCCGGAGCCAGCTTCCTCTCTGCCATCCATGCGGTGCAAGGGCCCAAGGCGTTGAGCCATCCTCCAGTTTCCCCAGGCCATCAGCATGGAGCTAAATCAGAAGTGGAGTATCTGGGATTACAAGGAGTGCCCATATGCGATACCAGCACTGCAGGTGGAAGATTAACATGCTCTGACACCACACCAGCACCAAGCCTTTCAACATTCACAAAATACCCGTCATTATGACGCACTCAGCCAAACACTGCGCTGTTTCACAGGTGTGATCCCATTTAATGTCAACAGCCCTACGGTCATTGCCATTTCACAGATGAGAAAGCCAACGTCCTGGCAGGTGACATGTTTGGGGCCCCACAGTCCGAGACTGTGCCAGGTGTAAGCCCAGCCTCTCCCCAGCCTGCAGCCCTATCGCCCATGACATTCGGGATGCCCCCTGCTGGTGGAAGGCTGGAATGCCAAGCACATGGCTTTGCTTTAATATACAAATGTGTACATACATATACACACACACACACACGCATAATCACAGTCATTGTCCAGGGTGACAAACACCCCTTCTCCACCCAGGCCCGAGCTCTGCCACCCCCGGGGCCCCTGGAGACTCTCCAGAGAGCCGAGGCCTGCTGGTCTTCACAGAGGGACACCCAGGAAGCCACTTTTATTAGACGCGTGGGAAGGGGCAGTCTGTCCCCCGGGTGTGTCCTGGCTGTGGCCTCACACGGGCCCGGAGCTCTGCTGGACCCTCTTCATCAGCTCCTCGTCCTGCACAGACAGCTCCGTCAGCTTCTTGCCCATGCGCTCGTGGATGTCCAGGTACTTGGAGACACAGCGGTCCAGGCACACAGACTCGCCCTTGGACAGCTCGGCTTCTTTGTAGTGGGGAGGCACGCACTTCCGGTGGCAGGCATTGGTCATCCTGGATGGAGGGAGGCGCAGAGGGCAGGTGAGATGAGCGGCAGCCTGTGGTGTCCCAGGAGGCCTCATCCTTCCGCCCCTGCTACACTGCCTTCACCTCGCCCAGGAGCGCACGCAAACCCTCCACCATCTGGGAGGGTCCCTGCAGGCAGGAACTCTCCCTGACCAACCCAACAGGACTCGACGGCTGGACTCGACGGCTGGGCGTGGCTGCACACTAGGTGCTGTACCGGGATCCTGTCACCAGATTCTTACAGTTATCCTGTCAGGTGGCCCCAGGATCATTCCCATTTTACAGGCAAGGAAATTAAGGTACAGAGAGGCTTACTGACTCGTTAAAGATCATAAGGAGCTAAAGTATGAACCCAAATAGCTTGATTTCACTCACATTTCTTCTTCTAAAAAAATTACTTATTTTTATTGAAAAGGCAGATTTGGACCCGGTGCTATAGCCTAGCGGCTAAAGTCCTTGCCCTAAACACGCCAGGATCCCATATGGGTGCCGGTTCTAATCCCAGCAGCTCCATTTCCCATCCAGCTCTCTGCTTCTGGCCTGGGAAAGCAGTCAAGGACGACCCAAAGCCCTCGGACCCTGCACCTGCATGGCAGACCTGGAGGAAGTTCCTGGCTCCTGGCTTCAGATTGGCACAGCACTGGCCATTGCGGTCACTTGGGGAATGAATCAATGGGTGGAAGATCTTCCTCTCTGTATATCTGACTTTCCAATAAAAATATATCTTAAAAAAAAAAAAAAAGCAGATTTTACAGAAAGAGGACAGAAAGTCCTCCATAGGTGGTCCATTCCCAAAGGGCCACAAAGGCCGGAGCTGAGCCAATGCAAAGCCAGGAGCCAGAAGCTTCCTCCCAGTCTCCCACGTGGGTGCAGGGTTCCAAGGCCTTGGGCCATCCTTAACTGCCCTCCCTGGTCCTAAGCAGAGAGCTGGACTGGAAGTGGAGCAGCCAGGACATGAACCAGCATCCATATGGGATGCCGGTACCACAGGGTGGAGGATTAGCGTGCTACACCACCACACCAGCCCTCACAACTCATTCTGCAAACTCATTCTAGCAGCAAACATTTCACATAGCAGCTAGGATCGTGGTTGGGAAGCAGGTGCCTCCCGACTCCAGTTCTGCTCATAGAGACCCCAGCAGGCAGCAGTGAGGGCTCAACAGTGACAGCCACCCACTGACAGGTCTGAACTGGGTTCCCAACTCCAGCCCAGCCTGCAGTATTTGGGGAGTGAGCGGGTGGGAATTCTCTCTCTCCATCTGTTTCTTTCTAAAAATAAATTGGGGGAAAAAAATCATCTACAAGTAAATGAACCAATCATTAGAGTTTAAGCCGATAAAACGGGAGGCGCTTGACTGACGTGCGGCACTTGGTGCCACGGGCTTTCACAGCAGGTCCTGCTACAGTTTCTGTGAGACTATCACTAAGTCCATTTTTTTTTTCCACCTGAAAGGCAGAGTGAGAGCAGACAGAGAGCAAAAGAGTTGGCTTCCATCTGCTGGGTCATTCCCTGCGTGGGCACAACAGCCAGTGCTGGGCCAGGCTGCAGCCAGGAGCCAGCAACTCTACCCAGCTCTCCCAATCACATGGACTTTAGCAGAGTTGGACCGGGATGGAGCAGCTGGGACTAGAAGCGCTGGTCCGATATGGGATGTCAACGTCACAGGTAGCAATTTAATGTGCTGTGCCACGGCAGTGCCACCTCCAGCCATTTTCTAGATGAGGAAATCAACTGTTAAACAGTCCGAGTAATTTGCCCAAGGCTACTCAGCTGGGCAGCGGTGGAGCCAGGATTTGTCTCTAGACAAGCCACACGACTGAGGCGACAGTCTCGAGGTGGCTTTGGAGCGACTTTTCCTGGCTACTGACTTCATTCCAGCCCTGCTCCTGATGCGGCCATCTTGGGGAACAAAATAGTAGGTGGGAACTATCTCTTCCTATGATAGAATAAGCATTTTACTTTATTGTATTTAAACATCTACTTATTTTGGCAGATTTATAGAGAGAAGTAGAGACAAAGATCTTCCATCTGTTGGTTCACTTCCCAAATGACCACAACGGCTGGAACTGAGCCAATCTGAAGCCAGGAGCCAGGAGATGCTTCTGGCTCTCCCACATTGGTGCAGGGTCCCAAGGCTTTGGGCCGTCCTCCTCTGCTTTTCCAGGCCACAAGCAGGGAGCTGGATGGGAAGTGGAGCAGTTGGGACCCATATGGGGTGTCTGCACTTACAAGGTGAGGATTTGGTCATTGAGCCATTGCGCCAGGCCCAAATGGTGTTATTTAAAAAAAAAAAAAAAAAAAGGAAGCTGGGAGGAGTTTGGTATAGTGGCTGCAGCAACCACACCTCTTCTGGGGTGCCTGGGTCGAGTTTTGACTCCTTACTCCAGCTGCCTGCTATGCTACAGCCCCAGGAGCAGCAGCGGGATGGAACGGCCACCAGCAAAGGGGCCCTGGATCGAGTGTCCAGCCCCCGCAGTGCACACACTGCTTCCCTCTTCCTTTCAAAAAAGAAAAAACAAAAATGCCTGCCCGTCGTAGCGACCCCCTAGCCGGTCTGCACCGGTGGAAGCGCAGGGGCTGCCCCGCACCGAGGGGCGCATTTGTCAAAGTCCTCCCCCTGCCCTCCCTCGTCCCCGGCTCTCCCCACCTGTTGTACATGTCGGCCATCATCTCCACCTCCAGCTCCGCGGCCAGCTGCTGGGCTCTGAGCGGATCCATCTCGGCCCGGCCTGCTGGGGGACAGACATCTCCGTGAGCACCCACCCCGGGGTGGTCACACCGCAGCACCGTCCCGTTCCGCGCAGGCGGACACTGAGCTCCAACCCCAAGGAGACACGGCACGTCAGCCCCAGGAAAGCGAGGGTCCAGTCGGTCCAGGACAAGACCGCCAGAGCCCGGGACGTGACCCGCGGGCCTGAACCTCCCTCTCTCCGGGATCGCGATCACACGCAGAGCCGACGGGCCGGCCCAGGGTGACGTCGGGGTCCCCCGGGGGTCACCACGGCGACCCCGCCGCCCCCATACACTTACCGGGCGCCCAGGTGAACCGGAGCGGAAGCACGTGGGCACTGCCGGAGCGGAAGTCCCGCCTCTGCCTGGATCCGAAACGAAACTTCCAGGAGGCGGTGCCGGGAGATCGGCTACCATAGAGAGGGGGGCCAAAGGCTAGAGGAGACGCCAAACCGCCATAGAGGCGTGGGTAGGCGCAGAGCGGCCGCAGTCTTTCCGGGTGTGTCAGAGAGTTTATTTGGGATAGAAAGGGGCGTAAAGCCGAGAAATTTCAGGGCCTTGGTCCGAGAGTTGGCGAAAAACGGCGGGTATCAGTTGTCGAACGTTAAAACCATCCAGGAGAGGGGAAAAAGAAATCTTAATAGCCTTTAAATCATAGTGTCTGTTCGTAGGACGCAGGCTTACGTAAAACTCAACTATTTCTGGGATTCTTATATGGCAGTAACTTGGCGAACCGCACGGGACACTGTGCGACAACTGCTCTTGCATGTTGCAAATTCAGCCGGACAAGGCGCCTGTTGTCGAAAGATGATGGAACCTGTAGAACGTTCTAGTCAACGTCCGTGACACGCCCTGACCTGGAAGGAGATGGAGAGCGGATTTGAGGACATCCAGAGCTGCCCTAGTGCATGGAGTGAACGAGTCAGACACCCGTAACCTGTTGTAAGGACTTAGGTGCCCTCCCCTCCAAAAGAGACACACAGGGTACTTAGAAAGGGCTAACTTTTTTCTTTATTTATTGGAAAGTCAGATATACAGAGAGGAGGAGAGACAGAGAGGAAGAGCTTCCTTCTGATGATTCACTCCCCAAGTGAGCACAATGGCCGATGCTATGCCGACCCGAAGCCAGGAGCCGGGAACTTCCTCCATGTCTCCCACACAGCTGCAGGGTCCCAAGGCTTTGGGCTGTCCTCGACTGCTTTCCCAGGCCACAGGCAGGGAACTGGATGGGAAGTGGAGCTGCCGGTATTAGAACCGGCACTCATATGGGATCCTGGTGCGTTCAAGGCAAGGACTTTAGCCTTAGGCCACGCCGCCGGGACCATACATTTTTTTTTTTTAATGAAAAGATAATATATGTAAAACACCTAGTCCATGATAAGTATTCAATGAAACCAAGTAAGTTTTTAAAATTTATTTTTATTTGAAAGGTGGGGTTGTAGAGCGAAGGTAAGACAGAGGGAGAGAGATTTCATCCACTGCTTCACTTCCCAAATGGCTGTAATGGCTGGAGCTGAGCCAATCTAAAGCCAGGAGCCAGGAGCTTCTTCTGAGTCTCTCACATGGGTGTAGGAGCCCAAGCCCTAAGCAGGCCATAAGCAGGGTGCCGGATGGGAAATGGAGCAAACAGGACAAGAAGCGGTGCTTTTATAGGAAGCCAGCACCGCAGGCTGAAGCTTAGCCTAGCATCCTGCAGTGTGTTTGTCACTCAACCCCAGCCTCGCAGGAAGGGATGCAGGGTTGTGCTCAGGCTCTCCTCCTGTGGACCCCAGCCACTGCTGCAGAGAAGACAAAGGCAGGGTCTCCCCTGGACTTCCCAGAGATGAGCAGGGGGTGCAAGGCTAAGGATAGACCGTCCTGAGCTCTGCTATTAGTGACGAGAAAGCTGGCCCAGGCTTTGTCACTTCCTCCCTAGCACTGCTCTTCCCACTCACTCCTCACCTCCACTGCTATGACACTCCTGTCTAAGCCACCACATCTTGTCCCTGGGTTATCTAGTGCATTCCCTGCCTGCTCTCCTCGCTCCTGTCCACGCTTCCCCCCCAAGTCAGCCAGAGATGCCGTCCAAAGTGGGAGTTAGGTGATGCCACTTGACCACGAGACACCCCAATGGCTTCCCCTCACACAGCAAGAGCCAGAGTCAACCCAGGGACCGGGGAGGCCCTGCGTGATCGCTCTCCAGCTCCTGTCCTGCCCCATTGCTCTGCCTCGGTGCTCTTCCCCCAGCAGCCACACACTACTCCCTCTCACTCTCCTCATCTTCGCTACAGTCTCACCTCCTAGTTTTTAGCTGTTTACTGATTTACTACAGAAAGAGCCCCATGCACTGGTTCACTCCCCAGATGCCTGTAACAGCAATCCTGATGCTTGTGGGAACCCCCGCCTCCCACAGCAGAGCGCCTGGTTCGAGTCCCACCCCGGCTTCCAGTGTCCAGCCCCCTGCTGCTACACATCCTGGGAGGCAGCAGGCGATGGCCACGTGAGAAGCCTGGACTAAACGCCTGACTCCTGCATTCAGCCTGGCCCAGCCCTAGCCATTTGTAGGCTTTCAGGCAGCGAGCCAGTGGATCGAAGATCCCCCTCTCTCTTTCTGATTCTCAAATAAATACACAATTAATTTTTTTTTTCAAAACCAAAGATACATGTGAAGGAATTCATTTTTTGCAGGCTCCAAAATCCTCCAGTTGTGTTAAGGGGACACAGTACCACAGAGGCAGCCCACTGCTCTTAATAGTGGACCATTTTACCATTGATATCCAGATCTGCTTGCAAAGATCCCAAGCGTAGGGACCCCCAATTTCTTATTTCACATTTCTACTGATTAATTACTTCATTCCAGCCAGACTTATTAAGCACTAACTCTGAACCAAGGGATATGCTAGATCCTGGGCATCCGGGCCTGAGTGCAGATTAGGGTCTCTGTTTTCACAGGGGTTGGTGAGAGAGACGGCTAAGAGCATCTGACGGGTGGTCTGCATTGTGGAGATGGGCTGGGGGCCTATGCCATGGCATAGCAGCTAAAGCCATCACCTGTGGCATCGACACCTCTATAGGCACCCGATTCGAGCCTTAGCTGCTCCATTTCCCATCCAGCTCCCTGCTTGTAGCCTGGAAAAGCAGCAGAGGATGCCCTAAGGTCTTGGCCCCACGCACCCACATGGGAGAGTCAGAAGAAGCTTCTGGCTCCTGGTTTCGGCCATTGCGGCTACTTGAAGAGTGGATCAGCAGGTGGAAGATCTCTTTCTCCCTCGGTAACTCTGCCTTTTAACATATTAAATAACTTTTTTTTAAAGATTTATTTTATTTTAATTACAAAGTCAAATATACAGAGAGGAGGAGAGACAGAGGGGAAGAGCTTCCTTCTGATGATTCACTCCCCAAGTGAGCACAATGGCTGATGCTATGCCAATCCGAAGCCAGGATCCAGGAACTTCTTCCAAGTATCCCACATGGGTACAGGGTCCCAAAGCTTTGGGTCATCCTTACTGCTTTCCCAGGCCACAAGCAGGGAATTGGATGGGAAGTGGAGCTGCCTGGATTAGAACCGGCGCCCATATGGGATCCTGGTGCGTTCAAGGCAAGGACTTTAGCCGCTAGGCCACGCCGCCGGACCCATATATTAAATAACTCTTAAGAAAAAAGATAACAGGCTCGGGGGCTGGAAAGGGTAGAAGGTCCTGGGAGACCTCTTAGAGGAGTTGACATTGGAGCTGGGTCCAGGAGAACCTGAAGGACACAGGCTGCCACAGAGCCGAAGGGACAGCCAGTGCTTAAGCTGCAGAGTGTCTGATGTTTTCAGGGTCAACAAGGAAACTGGTATGGCTGGGAGTGTTGCAAGCTTCCTAAGCAGTCAGGGCCTCTTTCTCTCAGTGTTGGTGCCATTCATTGGTGGCAGGGCACAGAGCGGGGATAACACTTTGTTTCATTTGCTTTTCTGAGCAAAAGCTCAATGTAGTACAAAACACCTTGGCATCTTGGCAGGACACCGGTCCCAGGCACTTCAGGTCAAAGTAGAGTTGAGGAGCTTTGTGTTTCGTGGACTCTGAGTCTGCAGATTGCTCTGCTTGCCCCATTCCCGTCCCTTCCCCCTCCAGTTCTCTTCATTCAGTGACAGCCCTGCCTGGGGGCAGCTGCGATGGATGGTCACCCCCTCCTTGCCCACCCACACTCGCGTGAGCAGCTGCTTTATCTGAGCAAAAGGACCCGGGGAAAGGCGCATGGTGGGGGGCGGGGAGAGGTGGAGAGCAAGGGAACACGGGAGGCGGAGCCCAGCGTCCAGTGGGCACAGAGGCCAGAGGGCTGGAGACCAGATGCCACGTGGGTCCTGCAGCTGGTTGCCAGGGTCCTCAGGGCTGAGAGAACCGGGAAGAAAGATGACCAGGGGATGGAAGTGAACAGCCAGGGTCAGGGCGGCAGGAGCGCAGGGTGATTGAAAGGTGCCACCTGTCAGATATTCACAGGAAACCTGAGACTCCTTCTGCAGGGTAAAGTGTTGTACCAACCGCGTGGTAAACAATGCTCTCAGAGTGGGGGAGGGGAAGAGGGAAGGAGGGGGAGGCGGGACCCAAGACTGGGGGCTAGAGGCTCTGGGGCTTAAAGGCGGTGAGGAGTGAGCTGTTCTAGAGGAAGACTGCTCCCAAGCCCCAGGCAGAGGCCCCGCAGGTAGGAGCCCTGGGCCCCTTGCTAAGTGTGCCTTCCCCATCTGCCAACCCCAACTCCAAGGCTTCCAAGAGCCTGAGCTTCCAAGGACAACCCCACCATTAGTGGGGGATGCTGGGCTTCTCTCTGCTTCTCTCTCCACCTCTAAATCGCTTTAGACACCAGTGGTTGAGGCAGGGAGACTCAGCTCTGAGATCACCCACAGAGTGACCTGCAGGTGGCCACGCACGAGGACTTCACTGGGGGAAAGGGGACCTGGGGGAGTGGTGTCTGGCCAGGCCAGTGGAGTTGGGAGACAGACAGGAGTTGGGGAGCAGTGTCCCTGGCCGGGATTGGGGAAGACGGGAAGCCTCAGAATCCCTGGAAGAGGGCAAGCCCGGGTGACTGCTGGGGTTGAGACATTAACAACCACCAAGGCTGGCAGTTTGGAACAGGGGAACCGGAGGTTTTAATTTCCCTCCCTGGGTGCCAAGAGGAACAGGAAGAAGCCCGAGGGAGCTGTCTGCAGTGCTGCCCTGGCCACGAGCAGCAGTGATACGGGGGCTTCCTGGGAAGGGAGTCCGAGAGTAAGGCAGGAAGGAGGCCGGAGGACTTCCACAAGGAGGGTGTACAGTAGGAACAGAGGGACACCTGCCCGCACCCCCGATCCCGGCTACCCTTCCCCTGTCCTGGGCCTCCTGAAGGGACAGCAGACCGCTCACAGCAGCGTCTTGGTGTGGGCCCTGGACTCGTGTGGTTCAGCCATTTAATGGTCCTGTGACTTTAGTTAAAGGACCTCAACTCATTAATCTGAAAAATGGGACCAAGGACCCCTCTTGGGAGGGGTTGTTGTGAGGAGCCGTGGAGGTAAGACAAGGACATGGGGAGAGCTGTGGAGCTGTGATGCTGGGGCGGAGGTGGAGGGTGTGTGTGTGTGTGTGTGTGTGTGTGTGTGTGTGTGTGTGGCAGGGGTGTGATTCTGGGGGCTCAGCCTTCTGAGCTGCTTCACTCTTCCGTTTATGACAAGCCCAGAGGGTAGTAAGTTGAAGTGAGGAGCACACAGGGTGGGGTGTGTGTGTGTGTGTGTGTGTGTGTGTGTGTGTGTGTACACACGCACCTGCCCCTCCACCACCTTTGTGTGTGGTGGATAGATAGAGGGAAAGAGGGTTAGGGCACCCAGCTATGTCTCAGTTGGACACTAGCCCCTGGGAGGTATAAAAAGAGTCTGCTGTCATCTTCCTGGCCTTTGGTCCTCTGCCTGGTCTCACTGGTCCCTGCCCTGGAGGCCAGGTCAGGACCTTCCCCGACACAGGCAAGGCTCCACCCACCTACACCAGAGGCACTCGAGTGCACTCACTCCTCCCTGCAGACACCTTCCAGGCCTGGGCCCCTTCGCCCTCCTCCACCCCTGCAAGCTGGGTTCTGGTTTTACCTCCAGAAATCCAGGTCGCATAGTGCAACAGTGGGCACTGGGACCCCATCCCCTGGAGACCCCAATGTCTCTGATCTCCACCATTGCTCCACACCACCCATGGTGCGGAAGGCGGGACCGTAGCTACCCTGCTTTCCTCTGCCTTTCTTTCCTGCGGCTCAACAGGGAACAGCAGATGCTCCCCAGAAAAGCAAACAGAATACAAAAGAAGGAAAAGGCTGGCCACGGATAGGAAGGGTGCTAGGAGTATCCATGGCCAGATAGGTTTGGGAGGAAGCAAGCTTAGCTGAGTTGAAGCAAAGTGGAGGCAGTTCCTGGACTCCCAGTGACCCTGCGGTTGTGTGTCTCTAGCCAGGGAGAGTGTAGACTGTGTGGGAAGCAACGTTGGCCCCTTGAAGAGCTCACGTGAATGCCACGGGCACGCTCACTTTCCACAGAGCCGTGTTGGGAAAATCGCTCAGTGGAAACTGAGGCCCAGAGACAGGCCAAGTGTCTTGTTCTGGTCTCAGGGTGGACGGCGGTAAAGGCTGCTGGGGTCAACGTTAGCTCCATGGCCTCCTGGCTCCCAGCTCCTCTTCCTGTCTGTGGGAGTCACTGAGCCGCCACGGGGCTCTCAGGAGGAGTAGAATCCCAGGACGCCCGTGAGCATCTTCACAAATCCCTGTGTGCTTGCCAGGATGTGGTGCGGGGTACCACATTTGGGAGCGGGGAGCAGGACTCTGATCTCAGAGCAATGAGCCCTGAATGCATGGCAGGACCGGGGCCTTGTCCTTCATAGCCTGCCTTCCTGTCTCCCTTCCTATGTCCCTGTTCCCCAGGTGCCTTGGGTACTGCCACCAAGATCTGTACTGCCAAGGGCAGCAGGTATTTTTAGCTGGTGACAGGGCTGCCTGAGTCATGCTCTGAGCCCTATTTGGGGGTTGTTTTCTTTGTAAATGCCCACTCCACCCCCAGGAGGGCAGGGGGATGCAAGAGTTGGCCCTCTCCCCCTTATCACCTGTTTTTATAGATCCCACAGTATCTATGGGACTTGCAGAGGAAACTCTGCAAAACCAAGGTGTCAGAACTCCACCCATGGCCAGTCCCAGGGCCGGCTAGCATCTTTCTATTGTTGAGCAAGGGGGCATCCTCACCCAGTACCACAAGGCTGACCAAAGCGGCAGAGAACTGGAGACAGTGGCCCAGGGGATCCCACATCTGTGGCGTTGGTGGCCCTGCCTCTGTGATCTCCCTCTGTTGGCACCACCAGTACTTTGATTTGCCTGCCTGCCTGCCTTTGAATGAACTTGTCTCTAAATTCAATAAGTGTAATTTTAAGGACAGTTTGTGCCCCTCTGGGGAATGGAAAGTCAATATCTCTGGCCAGAAATAGAAAGTAACTGTAGAAATAAATATAATGTAAGCAAAAACAGAGCTTTTCAGACTGACCCGGTTAGGCTTGGGAAGGTGAGGAGCAATTGCTGACAGGTGCTCCAGGACGTGGCTTCCGGACTGTAGTCACCTCACTGTGGGCTGCAAAGATGCAGCATCACTAGAGGCTGGTATGTGATTCGGTGTTCTTTCAAGCCCAAATCAGAAGCCAGTATTGTGGCACAGCAGGTCAGGCTGCAGCCTAGGACACTGACATCCCACATTCGGGCATCCCACATTTGGGCACTGGTTCAAGTTCCTGCTGCTCTGTTTCCTGTCTAGCTCCTTGCTAATGTACCTGGGAAGGCAGCCCTGAATGGCCCCAAATGCTTGGGTCCTTACCACCCACGTGGGAGACGTGGATGGAGGTCCCGGTGCCTGGCTTAGCCTCAGCCGTTGTGGGCGTTTGGGGAGCGAATCAGCAGATGGAGCATCTCTCACTTTCAAATCGGTCAGTCTTCCTTTCAAATAAATTAAGTAAACCTTAAAAAAAATAATAATAAGCCAAAGCTGTAGCCTGCAGAGGGACATCAGGTGAATAGCAACCAGAACCAAACCAACACAGCCTAACCACTCCACCTTGTGCAAAACACAACTCTGCCCATCCTGTTGCCAGGGGAAGGCAGATGCCCAAGTCCCAATTCAAATGTGAGTACTGGGGACCCGGGACTAGACCTCGGACTCCCTCAGCCTTGGGCCAGAGCTCTGTCAGGGTCGCTCTACACCCTGTACAGGGGTGGGACATGGCCCAGCCTGCTTGTCCTTGCTTCCCAGAGATGGAACCGAAAGACAAGAAGCCCTCTGTGGACGGGGCAGCTGTCTCCCCCACAGCAGATGACACGGACAAGTCCAGAGGTAGTGGCTCTGCAGAGGAAGATGCGGGGGTGGCAGCCGGGAAGATCCCCAAAGAGAGGCCTCTAGAGAGGAAAGAAGAGCAAGAGAAAGCACCAGATGAAGATGGCGTGTCCACGGAGCTCCAGGGGGAAGGAGACGGTCCAGGTGAGGTCAAGGTGGACTCCCAAGGTGAGTCTGGAAGGAAAGAGGATGCCAAGGCTGAACCTCCGGAGAAGGATCCTGTGAAGGACACAAATACAGCTGCCTTCCAGGAGATGACTGAGTGCAAAGAAGAGGCCCAATCAGAACCCAAGGAGGCTGAGGACAAGAAGGAGGCCACTCCGGTCTCTGAGAAGCAGGAGGCTGATGAGAAAGAGGCCAAGGCTGGACCTGCGGAAGAAGTGACTGTGAATGACAATGACATGCCCAGATCCAAAGAGCACACAGTGACCTCTGAGAAGCAGGAGGCTGATGAGAAAGAGGCCAAGGCTGGACCTGCGGAAGAAGTGACTGTGAATGGCACTGACAAGCCTGGATCCAAAGAGGCTGGGGAGGAGGAGGCTGCCCTGCCCTCTGAAAAGCAGGACACCTCTGAGAAAGAGGCCATGCGTGGACCTGCAGAGGGAGTGGCTGTGGATGACAAGGACGAGCCTGGATCCAAAGAGACCACTACAGCCGCTGGGGAGGAGAGCCACAAAGTGCAGGAGCCCCCAGAGGAGGCCAAGGAGAAAGCCGCGGATGCCGAGGCTGAGGCCGAGCTGAAATCTCAGCAGACAGCAGTCACCAGAGACCAGGCCGAGGCCGAACCTGAGGAGGCTGGCAAGGGGTGTGACGCTCACGAGGGGGTGAGTAATGGAAGCTGAGAGAAAGGGAGAGCCAGCCCCACCCCCCAAAAAAAATCCCAGGGTTCCCCACTCCCTTAGGATGCAAGCTCTCCCAGAGAAAATCCAGACTGCCTCCCACAGGTATGCATGGGGTGGGTTTCCTGGGTAAGAACAGAGGGGCCACGCCTTGGTCCCAGGCTGCCTTCCAGAACTCTCTGATGTCCTCACAAAGCTAAGGACAGGTGCTCTGTGGCAGCGAGCCAACACAGTCTCCATTCTTTCCAGGTAATGCACAGCCCCTCTACAGAGCAGGATGTGGAGAAAAGGCCGGAGGAGGGCGCGGGGGGAGTTCCCAGCTCCCCCGAGGAGGGGCCTGAGAGCCCCACCCAGGGCCTCAGCCCAGGTGAGCACCACCCTGGAAGCCCCCCAGGAATGTGGTGGGGTGCCCTGGAGGTGGGGGGAGCCAGAAATAACCCAGCCCTCCTCTCACCTGCTCCTCTCCTCCAGATGGGCTGGGTCCAGATTCGGGAGAGACTAGCCCTTCAGCCAGGTAATGCTAAACTCCTGGGCCCCAGCTCCCACCTCCCACCCAAGCTGCCCATGCTGAAACCAGGCCTCCCCCTGCACCTGCTTCCCCCGTGTCCTAGGATTCCTAGCAGTCAGCGTCCTGCCTTGGATATGCAGGTCCAGGCGTGGCCTCTTTTTCAGAGGTGTCCCCCTTCCTCCCACGGCCCAGGGCTCCTCGGCAGGCTCCTGGCTCTCCCCCAACTGTCTCATCCCCCAGCTCAGCACATGTCCCCAAGGTCGGCTTTGTCCGTAAGCCCATGGTCAGGGAGCCTGAGTTAACAGTGGCTCGGTGATAGCTGTGTGACCTTGGCCATGGCACGTAGCCTCTTGTCATCTGTGAAAGGGCCTCACGCACACTGCCCTCAAAGGATTGCTGGTGACATCCTGGCTGGTGACATAGAGCGAGACACCTGCCACGTGGGCAGGCGGCAGAGACGGTGACAGCTTCATCCACACCACTGCACGGTTCTGGGAAAAATCCTCCTTTCCCTCCAGCTGAGCACACCTGCAGGTCTGTTCCTTAGGGAATGCTAGCCTCCAGCACTCCCTGAGCTGGCACGCAGCTGTGGGATGGGCACAGCTGGCTGCCCTGAATTATTTACCTTCTTATAAGAAGGCCTTAGAAGCAACTAGGTATACATTCTTCTCCCCCATCGTTTCCATGAGAAAACTGAGGCACGGAGAAGCCACGCGACAGTCCTCAAGATCACACAGCAAGTAAGAGGCAAACCCAGGAGCCAAACTCAGATCAGACCTCAGGCAAGTCCTAATTCCTGCCCCTCGTCTCGCCAAACTAGGCGCTCCCTGAGGTTAGAACGGGGCCTTTATTCCTTCCCAGCCCCCTCCCAGTGCCCGACTCGGAGGAAGTGCCTGCCGACCACAGGTGCCCCCACTCATGTGTGCCCTTAGGTTGTAGTGTAGCGTCCAGCCTCCTCCCTGTGTCCTGTAAACAGGTGTCCCAGCCCCTCTTACGCTCCTCCGGGTCTCTCCACGTAGTGAGTCGTCACCCAGCGATGTGCCCCAGAGTCCCACGGAGCCCTCTCCCCCAGGGGAGAAGAAGGAGAAGGTACCGGAGCGCAGGGTGTCAGCCCCTGCCCGGCCCCGAGGCCCCCGAGCACAGAACCGCAAAGCCATCGTGGACAAGTTTGGCGGGTAGGACGGAGGCGGGAAGCCGGGCTGGCCCAGGGGACCATGCATGCGAGGCTGGGAGGGAGGCCCGAGGTCAGTGTGGACAGTTCTTGGGCCGGGGCAGGAAGCCTGACATCTAGGGGCTCCCTTCACCTCTCCGGCCTGTGCACCCCTCCCTTCCAGGGCAGCCTCGGGCCCCACCGCCCTTTTCCGGAACACAAAGGCAGCCGGGGCAGCCATCGGTGGAGTCAAGAACATGCTGTTGGAGTGGTGCCGGGCCATGACAAGAAACTATGAGGTGGACACAGGGAGGGGCCACGGGTGGTGCGCAGGCCCCTCCTCCAGGATGGTGAGCGGGTGCACACCCCGAGAGGCAGGAGTGTGCTCACCGTGGCCTCCCTCCCACGCAGCACGTGGACATCCAGAACTTCTCCTCCAGCTGGAGCAGCGGCATGGCCTTCTGCGCCCTCATCCACAAGTTCTTCCCAGATGCCTTTGACTACGCAGCGCTGGACCCCGCCAAGCGACGGCACAACTTCACCCTGGCCTTCTCCACGGCAGAGTAAGCCTCAGCTGCGAGGCAGCAGACGGGGGCGCCTACAGAGGGCCAGGGCTCGAGTCACAGGGTCCCACCAGTCCCTGCATGCCTGTGACCTGGGTTCTAAAGAGGGTGATGTATCAGACACCGGGTGCAGTCACCCCCCGGTTGGTGTCTGTCCCTGCCCCGAGACAGCAACATCTGCGGATGTTCAAGTCCTTTCCTTCCCTAGCACAGCACTGCCTTTGTGGCCCGCACACTAGATCAGCTCTAGATTGCGGACAATCCCTAATACAGTGTAAATGCTGTGCAAGTGGTTTCTATACCAAATTGCTCAGGGAACAATGAGAAATTGCTTAGAGAACAATGAGAAAAGTCTGTACATGGTTGGTACAGATGCTTTTCCTTTATTTCTGAATCTATTCAATCAAGATTGGCTATATCCATAGACGTGGCCCACGTGGCTACGGAGGGCTGAGTGGATAAGGTTGGGGGCAGTGGATGCTGTGAAGAAAAATCAAGCTGGGACAGAGATCCAGGAAGAGTGGTGGCAGTTTGTGTGATTCTATAGGCTCCTGCTCCTCCACATTCTGAGCCCCTAAAGTGGGTATGATGCATCCTCTTTTTGCAGAGTTATTGTGGGAGTTAAGTGAAGTTTCTGTAACAGTATCGAATGCACCTTAGGCTGTGGCTGTCACAATGAATGACAGCAGTTATCACTGTTACTCACTTCGAAGCCGGCAGGGGGAGCTCTTGCAGAGGCTCATACAGCCCCCTGACAGGGACTCAAGTGGCTGGAGAAAGAATGGGAGAGGTCTGATACTAAGCAAAAGGGGTGTGTGGCCCAGGCAAGGATTCGAGGTAATTATGGCCCTGGGGGAGGTGCTCCCACTACCAAAGCAGCAAAGCCAGCCTTGGCCTAAGGCTGCCATCTCTCCCCAGAAGGAACTCAGTCCCCAAGCAACTCTTGTCCTCAGCATCAGGGAGGATCCCAAGGTCCTGCTCCAAGGCCTTCGAGTGGACAGCCGAGTGCATTTCTAAAGTCTCTGGACAAAGTCAACAGGAATGCTGGGTCCTACCATATTGTCGAGGCCTGGCCACCACCCCTTAGGGAGGTGTGCGTGTCCCCATCGGCAAAATGAGAGGCTTAATATTGATTTGTGCTTGGCAGCGTTTCTTTCTGGTCTCAGCAGATTTGCTCAAACAAAACATTAAGCAAATGTTCAGCACACTCAACAACCCTTTTTAACTTGGGAGCGGCTCACAGCCCCATCCCTGCTCCCCAGTTGGGTGCTGAGTCACTTACACGGGGTCCCTGGACACCAGGGAGGCCAGCTAAAGGCCACCTGACTCAATGTTCCCTCATGGTCCTTCCAGCTTTGCATTATCGTGCTGGGGGATGGGTGGGTATCCCAGGGAGATGCCCAGCCACAGGCATGGAGCAGCTCAGAGCCAGGCCTGCGGAGAGCGTTCCACCTCAGCCCCTCTGCACAGCCCAGGCCTGCAGGGCATGGCTCCCTCTCCTCCTCGTGCAGCCACCTGACCCCTGGTTCCAAGCCAGGCAGGGCCACCGCCAAGAGAACGCCAGGCTGAGCAGGCTGCACTGGTGGGCGCACTGGTGCGGGAGGCCAGGAAGCGAAGCTGGGGTGCCTGGGTTTGAATCTTGACTCCTCCCTAGCTCGATGACCCTTGACAGCTGACCCAAGCTCTCTGGAAGCCTGATACCCTAAAGTTCAGGACATTCCACTGTCTTGTTCTAGAACTTTCTTCCGCTTCCCATGGATGCTAGGATGAGGGAAGGGAAGGACCATGACTGGAGTACCCAGTGGGCTCCATCCCTGAGTCCTGGCAGGGGAATCCTGCCCCACTCCCCTCTACTCCCTGGGAACATCCCCCACAGAAGGGGACAGCTGAGATCCCCGCTTTATTCCGGGGAGCTTGTCTCATTCTTCGAAATCCTGCCATCTGCGCCCCTCCCCCAGCCACCATGCCAGCCAGGCTTGGATTTCAGCCCAGCTGTCTGAGCCCCATGAGAGAATTCCTGCTGGGGCCCTGGCTTCTCTGGCCAGCACCCTGGCCTGGTCAGGCTGGGACTCCTTGGGCCATTTGCTGAACAACCGTGCCAGAGGCATCGGGCAGGCTTGGGCGGAGTCTTTGCTGGGGCACTTGCTTCACCTTGGGCAAACAGCTCCTCTCCTGCTGGTTGGAGAAAAGAAGTCCAGATCTCCCGCAGCAAGCCATCTGACGGAGCGCCTGGCGTGTGGCCGCGAGGTCCCAGCCATGCCAGGCTTAGCCGAGGGCCCCACGGGGAAGCAGAGGGCACTCAGGAGAGGCCTCTCTGAGCCCTGGACAGCCGTCCGCAGACCTTCCTGCCCACGGGCCGCGGCGCGGTGCCCGGATCTCCCGCCTCTCCCAGACACACAACTTCTCCCTCTCACAGAGCTAATCCTGAGCTCCCTGTTTTTGTTTTTTTTAATTTACTCATGTTCTTTCTTTTTTATTGGAAAGGCAGATTTGCAGAGGAGAGACAGAAGGGGTGATCTATAAATCTATGTAAATCTGCCTGCCCAAGAAAAGTAGATCTTAAAAAAAAAATCCTAATGTCGGCATGTGTCCTGCCTCCCTGCCACCTCAGCTGCCCACTTGTCGTCTATTGCCCACCTCCCTACGCCAGCCACAAAAATGGCAGCACCATGTTTGGTGCCCACCTACAAGGAGGGGTCCCTGGTTCCAGAGGACAGACTTGCATGCGCCTGTGGAAGACGGGGTTATCGTGGGACTAACGGGGCCTTTGCGGGGCATGAGGCCACATGGTGCAATGCAAATGTGACACTTGGCTATCAGACTCACTGGGGCAGAGTCTTTGGAGCCTCAGTGATCCCATCTATACAATGGGGCTGTCTGGCCTGCTGGATCTGCCAGCTCCCTCATGCCTGATGCAATGGCTGGGTTGCTTCCGCCCCACATCCTTCATCTCTGGCTCTTCTCCACCTGTCCCCAACCCCTCCTTCAGGAAACTGGCCGACTGTGCCCAACTGCTCGAGGTGGATGACATGGTGCGGCTGGCAGTGCCCGATTCCAAGTGTGTCTACACCTACATCCAGGAGCTGTACCGCAGCCTCGTGCAGAAGGGACTGGTGAAGACCAAGAAGAAATGAGCTGCCAGGCCCATGGGCAGGCTGCCCAGCTGACCAGTGGAGGCCTGGGCAGGCAGCAGAGCCTGGGCTCAGGCCCAGGCAAGGGCAGTTGGCAGAGGTCTTAACTGTATTAAAAGGACTTTTGTACAATCCTGGCTGGCCCCTCGTTGCTCTCTCAATCCGGAGCCTCTGTGCTCTGGGATGACACCCTGGCAGCCAGCAGGTCCCTTACCTGATGAGACTGCAGCAGCTGTGCCAGGTGTTAAGAGAGGAACCACCTGCACCAACTACTTGTGTGCCCATGGCCTACGTGTGCAATCTGCAGGGGGATCACGGGAGCTGGACCTCACACGGAGGGTTCAGTGCCATCATGAAATGGTTCAACCACCTGGCCAGGTGCCTGCCACGTGGATCTTCAGGAAGTAAACAAACTAACTCACATTTTTGTTGGTGGCATTTTTCACCCTTCTCTTCCCCACGGTCTACACTTCTTCCCATTAGGGAACTCCAGGGCAGGAGTGGCCATAGAAGTCTCTCGAAACCTCACCAAACCTGAACTGATTGGGTTTAGGGTGATCCTTTTGGCTCCAGACACTCCACATTCTGTGTGAAAAGCCTGCAGGGTCCCAGGAGCTCACCACAGTGGCAACACAAGTCCTTCCTTAGTCCCAGCGCAGTGGCCTAGTGGCTAAAGTCCTCTCCTTGAATGCACTGGGATCCCATGTGGGCACCAGTTCTAATCCCGCAGCCCCGCTTCCCATCCAGTTCTCTGCTTGTGGCCTGGGAAAGCAGTTGAGGACAGCCCAAAGCTTTGGGACCCTGCACCCATGTGGGAGACCTGGAGGAAGTTACTAGCTCTGGCTTTGGATCAGCTCAGCTCTGGCCGTTGCACTCACTTGGGGAGTGAAATCAGCAGGCGGAAGATCATTCTTTCTGTCTCTCCTCCTCTCTGTATATCTGACTATGCAATAACAATAAATCTTTTGAAAAAAAAGTCCTTCCTTCTGGTTAAACTAACCCCTCCCAACTCTGGCTGAAGTCATCCTCGGGATGGGTGTGGGGGCTGAATGCCCAAGCAGTCCGGCCATGTTCACCCAGACTGGCTTCATCAGCCATTTGTAGTGTGGGTGCTAATGAAAGCAGCTCATAGGAAAAAAAAACAAAAAAACCAACAAAAAAACAGCTCTGCATGGTGGACTCCGCCCCAGCCAGACAAAACCAAGCATCCATGGAAGGACCACTCCATGTCACAGCTGCAACCCCTCCCACACGGTGGTGTTACCCCTGGGAACTTGTTTACCGATGTATGTATCTTCATCTCACTTGAAAGAAGGGCACACAGACAGATGGAGAGCGCGTCTTCCATCCACTGGTTCAGTTCCAAAATGTTGGCAGTAGCCGGAGCCCTGGGTTCGGGTCAGCGTCTCCCACACTGAGTGGTGTGTTGAACTGTCACCTGCTGGCTCCCAAGGACGAAGCTGAGTTGATCAGAAGTGGAACAGTCAGGACTTAGACCAGACCCCCCGAGACGGTGCACAGATGTCTCAGTGACCCGTGGACTCTGAGTGGCCTCTTCGGGAATGACCACGCGTAGGGAGCAGGACCTGTTTGCAGAACTGGCCCTCTCCCATCTTGATAAAACCTCCCCATCCTCACACGAGACACAACTGCAGCATTCATCTGGGACTTTTAGAAAAACATTTTTATTTAAAGTTTAGTAACTCTTCACAATTACCGAGACGTACAGCGAGGGAGAGAGCTCCTATCCACCGGTTAGCTCTCTAACACTGGGTGGGGTGTGTGTGGGTGGGGAGTCAGGAACTGGGAATCCAGGTCTGTGCAAGGCTGGCAGAGACCTGCGCACTGGAGCCTCCCACAGAGAGCATCAACGGGAAGCTGGAGTCGGCAGCAGAGCCGGAAACCAAGGCACTCCAACATGGGAAGTGGGCATCCCAACCAGCGGGGACCATGAGGCCGATCGTCTGCCCCATCTGTGCTGGAGTGGCCAGGCAGGCACTGCATGCTGGACACAGCTCCGCAGCCTGCAGCCAGGTCTCCAGAAACTGGCCACCTCATGGGACAGCAGGAAGTCGCAAAATACAGTCAGACTTCCCGGATGGAGGTCAGATTCTTCATTTATCATTCGATAGCAGAAAACAAATGGCTTAGCACCTAAATCTATGCACGCCTCTCCATGTCCCTTGCCTCTCACACACATATTCCCCTTATTCTGGGAGCCCTGGAGGGGTCCTGTCTCCTGCCAGCTGACTTGTCACGCCCTGAAGAACTGACCTGTAACTGTGAAAACCTAATCTCCCCTGGCTCGGGGCAAAGGCACACGTAGGACACAGATGCACATATAGCCTCCCTCTCGCCATCACACCACACACACACCCGTGACTAGCAATCTAAGAAGGAAAAACAGGACAGGGCCTAGCTCACTGAGGGGCTGAGCCCAGGTCCGTAAGGTGTCTTGGACCCAGTGTGGAGAGGGGTCAGGCCAGGAATTAGGAGGGCCGGTCCTCTCCGAACTGGAGGGTGAACTCCGTCGCTTTCTGCTTGAACAGCTCCGGGTCCTGGGTCAGCAGGTCAACCAGCTCCAGCCTCACGGGTTCCTCCAGATCCGGTCTGTTCACCAGCCTGTTGAGGGCCTCCAGGACTGGGGAAAGAGGACAGATCACAACTTGAGAGAGCAGAGAAAACCCAGGCAGGGGCAGCAGCTGCCCCCAAGCTCCACACTGACTCCATGGAGGGGGCAAGCACAGCCTTCTCTTAGACACCCGGTCCTTCCCGGAGGACAACGCCCAAAGCCTTGCCTGGTTAGGGCAGCGCTTCTCAAACAGCTATTCATCCTGGGATCACTGAGGCAAGTGGGATTGTTGGGTCTCGGCAATTTTTTTTTCTTTCTTTTTTTTTTTTTTATTGGAAAGGTAGATTTTACAGAAAGAGAAGGAGAAGACAGATCTTCCATCTGCTGGTTCATTCCTCAAATGGCTGCAACAGCCAGAGCTGAGCTGATTCGAAGCCAGGAGCCAATAGCTTCTTCCGGGTCTCCCACACAGCTGCAGGGTCCCAAGGCTTTGGGCTGTCCTCCTTCTGCTTTCCCAGGCCACAAGCAGGGAGCTGGATGGGAAGAGGAGCAGCTGGGACATGAACCGGCGCCCATACAGGATGCTAGTGCAATAGGCAAAGCTTAGCCTACTACACCGTGATGCTGGCCCCTCAGCTGCATGTCAACAAAACCCACTCTGACTTTGCTATTTTGACATTCGCAGTAAATTTATTCAGGAGACAAAACAATTCTAAGGCTGAAGATAAAGGCCTACGGCTGTAGCACTGCATCTTTTCCGGATGTCTTGCCGAGTCCAGTGAAGGTGACAGCCCGGAGCCATGTGTGTATGCATATACATACACACAGCTCCCAGTGAAGAGTGGACTACTGACCCACGAAGCTCATCCCGGAACAGCTCCAGTCTCCAGCGCACCCTTCCCCACCACATCAACGGTCCTGGTTTCCAGGTTATGACTCCTGGAATTATGAGCTGGCGTTAAGCCTCTGCCCGTAACGCTGGTATCCCATACGGGTGACAGGTGGAAACCCAGCTGTTCCACCTCCCATCCGGCTCCCTCCTGCAGCTTGGGAAAGCAGCAGAGGACAGTCCAAGTACTTAGACCCTTGCATCCGATGAGAGACTCAGATGAAACTCCTGGCTTCAGACCAGCCCAGCTCCAGCTGTTGTGGCCATTTGGGGAATGAACCTGCAGATGAACAATCTCTTTCTGGTTTTTTTTGCTATTTTTTTTTCCTTGCCTCTCTGTAACTCCAACCACCACACAGAGGAAGCCCGTAGGTTATGGAGCCAAGCTGTTCAATATGGTAGCCACTAGCTCCACATAATTTTCTAAATTCACTAAAACGGCCATTGTGGCCACTTGGGGAGTGAATCAGTGGATGGATGATCTTCCTCTCTGTCTCTCCTCCTCTCTGTATATCTGACTTGCCAATAAAAGCAAAACAAATCAGGTAACCAGCATGGAGAATCCAGCTTCCCAGCCGTATTAGCCGCGTGCGGCCAGTGATTATAACACCGGACAACGGAGCCAGAGCCATAGAATGTTCCCTTGGCTGCACACAGCTCAGGCGGACAACACTGCTTTGGCGTCAGCCAGGCTCTGGTGGGGTCAGCCGCACAGCCTCAGGTAACATACGTGTTCCTTGGGTCCCTGTTTGTCCAGTGGGGCTAATGGCAGCACCACCTCACGGTGGTCAAGGAGGACTCAATGAAGCACATATACGATGCCCTCAGCCCAGTGCCCTCTAACACTGGGTGGGGTGTTCATCTCAGCTAAGTGACGGACACTGCCATTATAGGATGCCCCCTCTCCTGTTAGGTCACTGGGTCCCAGAAAGGACTAAAGCCTTGCTCAAAGTGTGCAGATGGACCAGCTGGCCTTCTTATGCCAAGCCCTGCCGTCTGCAGCCAGGCAGCTTCTCCTGACACTGACCACGGTTGAGTCCCTCTGTCACACCTGCCCAGCAGCGGGTCAGCGTGTCCAGAATCTCAGGAGGCATGCCCACCATTTAACAACTGGTTCAACTGTGATTTTGGTTTTTGATTGTGGGTTTTTTCCCTCCCCTCTTTTAGGCTTTTTCTGGCTCAAAGTAAAACCACTGACAGCCACAGTCCACTTCTGTCCAGTCACCTGCACCTGCTCCCAGTTTCGCCCTGAGCTCAAGGCCAAGCCTACCTTGGAAGGCCTTGGTGGTGGGCTCCCAGTTGCCCTTGCTGATGACGGGCAGACACACCTGTCCGTTCTCATCCACGTTGGGGTGGTAGATCTTGGTTGTGAAGGCCACTGTGGGAGGCTTGAGTGGGTAATCTCTGGGGAAGCTGATGTGGACACCAAAGGCCTTGTGGTGGTAGGGAGGCTCATCCTGCACAGAGAGAAGGGGCCAAGGTCTGTGGGAGCCACTGCCACTCTGGGAAGATCTCCCTGCCCCCACGCTCTGCTTCCCTCCAGGAGGAACCACGGGCAGGGATGTCAACGGCCCTGCAGTCGCTTTGCAGCTGAGCCATGCGCGAGTGAGAGAGGAGAATCCCAAAGGGGCCCCGGCTTCTGCAGGGGGACCATCTCCAGGCCTCAATTTCCTCACGGGAAAAGTGGGTGAGGTTTGACCGGATGAGCTCTGAAGATCATCTCAGCTTCCAGACCTGTGAAGTGGAAGGAAGGAGACAGCACGGCCTCCCAGTGGCTGTCGGCAAGCTTGAGAGAACCTCATCAAGGGGGGCAAACCAGGAAATGGAAAACATCAGGATAATCCTAAGAACTCGGAGGCACAGGAACCGTCCAATGAAAACTGGAACAGCATCCCTCAAAAGGAACAAAAATGGTACTACCGTAGGGTTCAGCAATAGCCCCGCTGGGCGTACACCCCAAGGCTGGCAAGAAGGGCTTTCACGGGCGTTAGAAGACATGTTCACAGCCATCTACTCAAGCGCAGAGCCACCCTTCTTAACAGATGGAAAAAAAGGACACACCACAACCGTGGGGCATACTGAGACTGCAGACAAGTTATGCAGCAACTACCGGATACACAGCAGAAGCAACACGTCAGCTCTCACACGGTTGGTCATCATAGAGTCGGGGCCTGTGAGGTCAAGACAAGGCCAAGGGCTGCGGCCACGGAGCAGGAAGGGGCTCTGTGTCAGCTCTCCACAGGGCTTCCTGCTGGACCACCCAGGGCTTAGAGGGAACAAGGCAGCAGAGTCCTGAGCACAGGCACCGGTCCCGGGTCCGACTGGAGTTTGCTGGGGGACTCAGAACTTCTCTGGAAAATGAGCAATTTGCACCCAGAGGACTTTACAGTGCATCTCTGATCAGCTGCCCAAGTCCCACTTACTTCCCTCCGAGGTCTGGGTTAGAAAAGAAAAAAAAAAAAAACCAACAATGAAAACATTCACTTTTCACAGGCAGACTGAGCAGACGCTGAAGCTGGCTGCTTTCCAGCCCATTCCCTCATTCTGTGATCCCACTGACCTTCTGGCCTCCGCCCGCTCAGCCTCACAGGGTGGCTCACCCACCACACGCACGTCCTACCCGGGGCTCTCGGCCGACGCGAGCTCTTACTACTGACTTCAAAAAAGCTCACTCGGCTCTGATGTTCCATGACCCAGACGTGATGGGGGCTGGGAGGGCACTGCACCTCAACGAACTCCTAACTGGGATGGAGCCTCCGGGAAGTGGGCAATGAGTCCATACATCCTGAAGCACCTCCCCACTTCTCTGCCTGCCAGCTGTGGCTTCAGCAGCTCCTTCAGGCCCTTCCGTGGCTGCTGTGCTCCAAGCTCTGGTGCTCCAGGCTCTAGTGTTCCAGCTCCGGGTTCTTCCCAAGTGGCAGGCCTATTCAGGACCACATCATGGCTGAAGGGTCTATGACCACTCCTGGGGCACACCTACCCGCCTGGGTCTTGCCCACCATGGAGGGTCTCTGCTCTCCTGATGTTCTGCCCAGTGTACCCTTCCAGGTTTCCCCTCACCTTCCTCTTCCTGGCCAGCTCCATTCCCTCCCGTTCTGCTATCCACAGGTCGAATCTAGCATCTTCTTCCCCTGCCACGTGGAGCCTAGAACAGGTGTCCCAGCCGAGCTAGGTAAGCTGAGCTCTGCCCCCCAGGAGTAGCCCGAGGGATCCCACAGAGGGCAACGTGCTGCCCTTCCTCAAGCCTTGTTCTGCTTTCTGGACTACAGGTCACTGACACACCCAGGAGCTTTCAGTAACAAAAAGCTCCCGGGCCTTCACCAACGTTACTAATAATTAGATATTCTGGTGCATCCTGCTAGGCTCTTTGGAATAGTGCTTTCAAACGAAGATTTTATCAAGGCAATAGCAAATAACAGGGACAAGCGAGAAGAGCATGGACAAGCTATCTGTGTCACCTACATAACAACAATTTCCTGAAAGAAGATCCTTAAAAGAATAAAAGGGGCGGGCCCGGCGCGGTGGCGTAAGTGGTTAAAGGTCCTCCCCTTGCACGCCCGGGATCCCATATGGGCGCCGGTTCTAATCCCGGCAGCCCTGCTTCCCTTCCAGCTCCCTGCCTGTGGCCCGGGAAAGCAGTCGAGGACGGCCCAAGGCTTTGGGAACCTGCACCCGCGTGGGAGACCCGGAAGAGGCTCCTGGCTTCGGATCGGCATAGTATCGACCCGTTGCGCTCACTTGGGGAGTGAATCATCGGACGGAAGATCTTCCTCTCTGTCTCTCCTCTCTGTATATCTGCCTTTCCAATAAAAAAAAATAATAAAAATAAATCTTTAAAAAAAAAAAAAGAATAAAAGGGGCGGGGGGAGGGCTTACACAATGGCCCTATTAGCTAATCCTTCACCTTGCAAGTGTCGTTTTGTGACCAGGCTGCTCCACTTCCCATACAGCTCCCTGCTTGTGGCATGGGAAAGCAACAGAGTATAGCCCAAAGCCTTGGGACCCTGCACCCAGAAGGGAGACCTGGAAGAAGCTCCTGGCTTCTGGCTCTGCATCGACTCAGCTCCAGTCGTTGTGGCCACTTGGGGAGTGAATCAGTGGACAAAAGATATTCCTGTCTCTCCTTCTCTGTAAAATCTGACTTTCCAATAAAAATAAACAAAATTTTTTTAAAAAGAGAAAAAATAAGTAAAATATTAAAAAAAAAAAACATATTTAGAGACTTGCCAGGTGCCATGTTGGGTTAAGAGGCGAGCTGAGATGCTGGCATCTCATAGCAGAGTTCCACGTTGGGTCCTGGCTGCTTTACCCCCAATCCAGCTCCCTGCTAGTGTGTGTAGGAAAATAGCAGAAGGCCCACCCTGCCACCCAGCTGGGAGACTGGCATGGAGCTCCTGGCTTCGTCCAGCCCAGCCACCACACCTGCAGGTGTCACCATTTGGAAACTGAATCAGTAAAATGGAAGATCTTTTTTTTTCTCTCTCTCTCTACCTGTATTTGTCTTTCAAATAAATAAAATTCTTAAACACATACACACACATTTTAGGGGTTGGTGCGATGGCACAGTACACTAATCTTTCACCTTCAATGCAAACATCCCATATGGGTGCCAGTTCACATCCTGGCTGCTCCACCTCCAATCCAGCTCCCTGCCTGTGGCCTGGGAAGGCAGTGGAGGATGGCCCAAAGCTTTGGGACCCTGTACCTGCGTGGGAGACCCTGAAGAGGCTCCTGGTTCCTGGCTTCACTCGGACTCAGCTCCGACCATTGTGGCCATTTGGGGAGTGAGCCAGCAGATGGATGGTCTCTCTCCTCTGTAAAATTCATCTTTCAAATAAATAAACATTAACACACACACATGTCTCAGGGATCAGGGGGCCGAGAAGCACGCAGAGGTTGGATCTTGTCAGCTGCCCAAGCAGGAAGGCGCCCTCCTTTCCGGAGGAGGACACAGAAGCTGAGGGGGCGAAGTCACTGCCCTTGGAGGCAGCTCGTGTGCCGGAGTGCATCGGCCTGCTCACCCATCAGCCTGGGCCTCAGCAGCAGTCCGCCCGGGCAGAGCATCCAGTAGAGGATCCCAGGGAAGGAGAGCCCGGGCCTGGCCCTAACCCTCCCTCCCTGCCCATGCTCTCGCAAGGCGTGAGCCAACCTCAGCCACAACACCACAACCCCTCGGCCACTCACCGGCAGGAGGAGCACGTGCCACTCCAGGACGTTGGCATCATCGCTGCGCAGGTTCCTCAGGTACCGGGGAAGCTCCTTCTGAAGGGCCTCCAGCTCCTGTGGGGGGACACAGCAAGGGGACAGGTGAGGAAGGGAGGCCAGCAAAGCCGGAGCCCTCACCTACAGGGGCACCTCAAAGAGCCTGCCACAGTGAGACTACAAGGCAAACGTCGCCAAGCAGCAGGGTGAGGTGCAGCTGGGAGCACCTGTACCCCACAGCAGTGCTGTCAGTCAGGCTTCCGGCCAAGGTACCTGCGAGGGTGGGGGATGTGGCTCAAGTGCCCAGGTCCCTGCCACCTACAGAGGAGAGTCGAACGGAGCTCCTGGGTTCTGGCTTCAGCCCGACCCAGCTCCAGCTGTTACAGGAATCTGGGACATAAACCATGAGATGGAACAGTGTCTGTTTCTCTCTTTGCCTATTAAATAAATACATTTTTTATTTTTTATTTTTAAAATTTATCTTTTGGGCCTGGTGTGGTGGCCTGGTGGCTAAAATTCTCGCCTTGAACACACTGGGATCCCATATGGGCGCCAGTTCTAATCCCAGCAGCCCTGCTTCCCATTCCACTTCCTTCTGGTGGTCTGGGAAAGCAGTCGAGGACGGCCCAGGGCCTTGGGATCCTGCACCCGCATGTGAGAACAGGAAGGGACTCCTGGCTCCTGGTTCCTGGCTTCAGATTGGGAAGGAATCATCACGGAAGATCTTCCTCTCCGCCTCTCCTCCTCCCTGTATATCTGACTTTGCAATAAAAAAAATAAATAAATCTTTTTAAAAACTCATCTTTTTTAATTGGAAAGGCAGATTTACAGAGAGAAGAGACACAGAGAGATCTTCCACCTGCTCATTCACTCCCTAAATGGCTGCAATGGCCGAGCTGAGTCAATTTGAAACCGGGAACCAAGAGCTTCTTCCAGGTCTCCCACGCGGGTGCAGGGTCCCAAGGCTTTGGGCCGTCCTCGACTGCTTTCCCAGGCCACAAGCAGGGAGCTGGATGGGAAGTGGGGCTACCGGGACACAAACTGGTGCCCATATGGTATCTCAGTGTATGCAAGATAAGGAATTTAGCCACTAGGCTACCATGCCAGGCCCAAGAAATCTTTCTAAAACAAGTTTATAAGGCAGGCCTTTGATGCAGCAGTTAAAGCATCGCTTGGGGGGCTGTCGCTGTGACACAGAGTGAAGCTGCGGCCTGAGACACTTGGCACCCCGTGTGTGTGCCCCTTCAAGGCCAGCCTGCCCCACGTCTGATCCAGCTCCCTGCCAAGGCGCCTGGGAAAGCGGGAAAGCCAACAAGGACAGCCCAAGTACGGGCGGCCCTGTCCTCTACCCAGGAGCCCCAGACGACTCCTGGTATTGGTCTACCCAGCGCCAGTTCCAGCCACTGCACCATTTGGGGAATGAACTAGCAGACAGAAGGTCTCCCTCCCTCCCTCCCTTTCTCCATCTCTCCTTCTAACTCTGCCTTTCAAATTAAAAACAAAACAAAACAAAACCTTAAAAGAAAGCAGCATAGCACACCCAGAGTTAAACAGCAAAGATATGCAAGGGGCATTCTCCCGACTGTAGCAAGCCTTGAACCTCATGCACCTGCTGTAGATGGGGGCCTGCCAAACCTCTCCCCGAGCCGGGAGCCGCACAGCACAAGTGAGCACACACGGCTCTTGTGCAAGCCCTGCTGGGAAGTCAGCGCACTTACAGCAAGAGAAAATGAAAGCAGAGAGGTCATGAGCAGAGCCTGCTGTCGGGACCAAGGCCTTGGCCCCAATCCCAGCCCATCAGCCCTTACTGCATAACCCTGGACAGCCAGCTCGTCCTGAGCCTCAACTGCCTCACCTGTAAAATGGGAACATGTGGCTTACCTCACAGAGCTGTGAGGACTGGATGAAAAATCGGTGAAAACCACTTGGCCCTGGACAGGCTCCCGTCTCTCTCAGCCTCAGCTAGGCAGGCCCCCCGGCCTATCTGGCTGCCAGCCGCCACATTTCAGTTCTGCTGGGCTGAACCTGCTGTGAGTGTCCCAGACGGAGACATTTGCTGCTGCTTCTTCGTTTAAAGATTTATTTATTTGAGGGCCTGGCGCGGTGGCGCAGTGGTTAAGGTCCTCGCCTTGCACGCCCGGGATCCCATATGGGCGCCGGTTCTAATCCCGGCAGCCCTGCTTCCCTTCCAGCTCCCTGCCTGTGGCCTGGGAAAGCAGTCGAGGACGGCCCAAAGCTTTGGGACCCTGCACCCATGTGGAAGACCCGGAAGAGGCTCCTGGCTTCGGATCGGCATAGTATCGGCCGTTGCACTCACTTGGGGAGTGAATCAGCAGGTGGAAGATCTTCCTCTCTGTCTCTCCTCTCTGTATATCCGTCTTTCCGATAAAAAAAAAAAAAGATTTATTTATTTGAAAGGCAGAGTTACAAAGCGAGAGAGTGGGAAACAGGCCTTCCATCTGATAATTCACTCCCTAAACGGCCACAACGGTTAGGGCTGGGTCCAGAGCCAGGAGCCAGGAGCCAGGAGCCAGGAGCTTCTTCTGGGCCTTCCATGTGGGCGCAGGGGCCCAAGCACTTAGGCCATCCTCCACTGCTTTCCTAGGCAAGTTAACAGGGAGCAGGATCAAAGTGGAGCAGCTGGACTTGAACCAGCCACATAGGGGATGCGACACTGCGTCACAGCTCTGGTCCCCACCATGTTCTCAGAGCCTGAAGGTAGCAGCCCCTCTCCCTTTGCCCCCCAGAGCCTGCTCCTCACCCTGCTGACCGCAAGGGCATTCGCAAGGCCCGGGGTGTGGCGGTGCCAGGCCCAGCTTAGCAAGCAGTCTCTGTTAGAGACTTCCTGCCCTCCCAACTCTCAGCGCAAGTCCAGCCCACAGCAGGCAGCCAATATGTGTAGAACAAGTGCCTGCAAGCCACTTGCTCCAGAGAGCCTTCCAACCCTGCTTCCAGCCTCCAGCCAATACAGACAGAACGTTGTCCCCCAGCCCCATCTCTTATTTTTTCATGTTAACATTTGACTTAAAGCAGTCCATCGCACCATGCTCAGCAAAAGACTGTCCGAACTAAACAGAAAAAAAAAAAAGACAGACAAACTACAGCTTAAGAAGCTGTGCATCGGGCCACAGGTATGGTGAGAAGCAGCTTAAACCGCCGCCGGGGACACCTATGTCCTCCACGGGTGCCAAGTTCAAGTCTTGGCTGCTCCGTTTCTGATCCAGTTCCCAGGTGATGAGCCTGGGAAAGCAGTGGCTGACTGCCCAAGGACTTGGACCCCCTGCACCTGCACAGGAAGAAGACCAGGACCTCAACGACCTCACACATTCTTCACGCAGCAGCTTATTCCCCAAAGCAGGAAAACAGTGAAACGGTTTACATCACACACTTGAGGGGCTGTCGGCGGTAGCACTGACTGGAACCGTCACAGGGTCTAACAAGAACCATGCTTCTCACCAACAGCCAATTTGGAACCACTGGCTTTAAGCGGCCTGGAAGGGCAGTCCGCCACAAACACAAAATACTGCTTGTCCCGCCACTGTAAAGGCTTAAACTCCGCGGATGCCAGCATTACCCACCGATGGAAAGAACAGGACCAGGCACCACACTGGAACACCTGAACCGACAGAATGAGAGCTGCTCTCGGCTGTCAGCAAACCTCAGCATCTACACGCCGAGGAAGATGCGGATTTAATGACATTTTGGGGGGTTTTCATCAGTATCCCCGCTTCTCAGGACTCAAACTTGAGGTATCTGGTGACCAACTGCGGAATGAATGAACCACGGGCTATCCCGAGGAGCGAACCTCGTCCTGGTCATCTCTGCTCCGACCCACTCGCCTACCACCAGCAGCCGAATGCCCGGCACGGAAAGGCACCTGCCCTGCACCCGAGACTCAACTCAGCGGTTCCTTGAGTTTCGAGTCGGAGAAACGAAACCGAAACAAGTAGGCGCCTCCTCAGTTCCTGAAGCAAATAACAACACCCCAGCCCCTCTCCTCGCCAACGCCGCCGAACGCGCCGGCTCCGCTCCTCCCGGACACCCACTCCTCCCCGGGACTCAGGAGGAGGCGTCCCGCCCGCGTTCACCTTCGCCACTCGCTTGCAGGCCGTCATCTCGCCTCGAGGGCTGCCGGTCGACTGACTGCCGCGGCTCCGAGCGCGGACCCGGCGAGCCGAAGACCCGCCTCCGGAGGCCGCGCACCTGCCCGGCTGGGACGCCGAGGGGAGGACCCGCCTGCCCGGGAAGGGCGGGCCTCGAACCCGTGCGTCCCGCAGTGAGTGGGGCGCCGAGGACCCGCCTCCCGAGGCCGCGCACCTGCAGGGCTGGGATGCTGAGGGGAGGACCCGCCAGCACCGGAAGGGCGGGCCTCGCGCGCTCTGCCTCGCGGCGCGTTGTGACCCCCCGTGCGTCCTGCAGAGGGGCGCCTCGGACCCCGCCGCCGGCTGCAGGAGGGGCGCGGGGCTGAGGCGGAACCATCAGGGGCCTACCCTATTCCTGTCCCCTCCTCCACGCCGCCCGCAAACGCTCCCCGGCAGGTCTCTCGGCGCCTCCATCCTCACGCCGCCGCCCTAAGCCCCTTCTCGCCCCCTGCGCGCCCTCAGGTCTGCCCGCAGGTCATCCCCCAGGAGCCCTCCAGTGTCTGCTGTCCAGACTCGCCTCCCCCCCCCCCGCGTCCGCGGCCCTTGGGGTTCCTTTGTGCCCTGCGGCCCTCAGCGGTGTCCCCTCCCAGCAGACCACCACCAAGGGGCGAGCTCGCACCCATTCGCTCGCCTTGGGGTGCAGGGATCAGCCCCGCTTTCCTTAGTTTAATACGGAAAAGTGCCTATTGCGTGCAGGAAGCCCCGAGAGGACTCCTGGAGCCTCGTCTTAGGAAGGCTGCTCACCCTCGTATTCTGGTGGACCTCGTATTGTGTCCCCCCACCCCCCGCTGGAACCCGGGGTCCCCACCCACCTGCAAGGGCAGAATCCCACCCCCCTTCCTATTAGCTCAGACCCTGGGCACCTGGCAGTGCTGGAAAGGGTCCTTGTTTTTCTTTTAAAGATTTGTTTATTCAGACAGAGATCTTCCAGCTGATGATCTAATCAGTAAACTCCTCCAACAACCAGGGCTAGACCAGCCTGAGGCCAGGAGCCAGAAATTCCATCTCCAGGAGGGTCAGCAGAAGCAGAGCCGTGGGGGCTTCCAGCGGCCCTCTCATATGGGACGTGGTGTTTCCGGTAGCTGCACAACGCGCTGCACAACCACCTCAGCTTTCCAGCTGCATTGGCAGAGTTGTGGCACTGCAGCTTAAGCCAGGGTTCGGTTCCCGTCCTGGCTGTCTCACTTGCAATGGAGCACCTGCTAATGTCTCTAAGCAGAAGTTCTAAGCAGAAATCCAAGTCCTTGGGCCCACACCACCCACATGGGAGACCCAGATGGGGTTCCTGTGAGCTGGCTTTTATCTGACCCAGGCCCAGCTAGTGCAGCCCTTTGTGGAGCAAATCATCAGATGTAACATATACCTACCCCTCTTCCACCCTTCCCTTTAAATAAATAAGCAGATTTTTTTTTTAAGAAAGCTTATTTTAAAAATCAACAACAGGGCTGGCGCAGTTGCCTAGTGACTAAAGTCCTCACCTTCAACGCGCCAGGATCCCATGTGAGTGCTGGTTTGTATCCCACCTGCTCCACGTATCCAGCTCCCTGCTTGTGGCCTGGGAAAGCAGTAGAGGATGGCCCAAAGTCTTGGGATCCTGAACCCGCGTGGGAGACCCGGAAGAAGCCGCTGGTTCCTGGCTTCATTTGGATCAGCTCAGCTCTGGCCGCTGTGGCTACTTAGGGAGTGAACTAGTGGACGGAAGATGTTTCTCTCTGTACCTGCTTTTCTCTGTAAATGTGCCTTTTCAATATAAATAAATAAATATATATATATATATTTAAACCCACAATAGCTCAAAATAATCCTTGGGTATTTAGAGTGTCTTAAAGTCATTATTTTGGGTTGACATGTCCTAAATTCTATTGCAACATTTGGGAAAAACGAGTATCCTGGGAGCAGCATTATGGCTCTGTAAATTAAGCTGTTGTCTCTAACAGTGCTATCCATCCCGGGGTGATACTTCAAGCCCCGGATGCTCCGCTTCCAATCCAGTCCCATATGATACACCCTGGAAGCCAGCAAAGGCTGGCTCAAACGTTTGGACTGGTGCCACCCTTATGGGAGACCCAGATGGAGTTTCTGGCTGTCCTGGTCCACCCCCAATTGTCACTGCCGTTTGCTAAATGAACCAATCGTTAGAAGATCTTTCTCTCTGTCTCTCTCTCATTCTGCCACTCTACCTTTCAAATAAAATAATTCTTTGCTTTAAAAATTAGAGACCCAAGTGTCAAGCTAAGAAATTTACCGACAACTTATTCCAAAGGTTAACTCCCCCAATGAACTGTGTTCCTACAAATCAGTGAGGTGAGGCACTCTTGTAGAAAGTGGACAAAAGAAATGGCAGGATAGGGCCCGGTGCAGAGGCCTGGCGGCTAAAGTCCTCGCCTTGAACGCGCCAGGATCACATATGGGTGCCGGTCCTACTCCCAGCAGCCCCACTTCCTATCCAGCTCCCTGATTGTGGCCTGGGAAAGCAGTCAAGGACAGCCCAAAGCCTTGGGACCCTGCACCCAAGTGGGAGACATGAAGAAGTTCCTGAATCCTGGCTTCGGATCAGCTCAGCTCTGGCCGTTGTGCTCACTTGGAGTGAACCATCGGACAGAAGCTCTTCCTCTCTGTCTCTCCTCCTCTCTGTATATCTGACTTTGCAATAAAAATAATATAATAAATCTTTAAAAAAAAAGAAATGGTAGCATAATTTAGTGAGAAGGAATACTTGTGCTTAAAGCATGTGAAAACCACACCGTTCCCAGCTCGCTCCTGTCAGTTTCACATATACACACACTGATTTTTTTTTTAAAGTTTGATAACACACATTTTTGGGAGTGTGGGAAAACAGTCACATATTTTGTTGGCAGCAACAAATTTGTACAATCCCTATGATGTTGTAAATTGCCAGTAACTATCAAAATCATAAATTTACATTCCTTTGATTCACAACTTGTGCTTCTAGGCATTTTATCCAGTAGATAGATTTAGCAACGTGTGAAATAATGTACAGGCAGGCTTATTTACCACTGCTAAACTTTGGGAAAGATTTCCTTACCCATCAAAAACAGTCTGGTTAGATAAATGAAGGTACAGCCACATCAAGAAACAAGGAAGGCAGCTATAACAAAAATAAGGAATCTTTTTATGTATGGACAGACAAAGCCGTTAAACTTTAGGAGAAAAAGGACAAAACAGTGTACACTGTGAAAAGTTCATTATAATCCCTCTTTCTAACTCCATCTTTCACACAAATCTTTTTTTTTTTTAATGAGGAGGGTTCTTTTTTTTTTGGAGAAGCATAGCTTGATGTGGGGACAACACCATTTTTTTAACGCCTTTTCTTGAAAGATTTATTTATTTTTATTGAAAGCCAGATATACAGAGAGGAGGAGAGACAGAGAAGATCTTTTGTTCGCTGATTCACTCCCCAGATGGTTTTAATGGCTGGAGCTGAGGCACCAATCCGAAGCCAGGAGCCAGGAGCCTCTTCCAGGTCTCCCACATGGGTACAAGGTCCCCAGGCCTTGGGCCGTCCTCCACTGCTTTCCCAGGCCACAAGCAAGGAGCTAGATGGGAAGGAGGGGCACCGAGATACAAACTGGCACCCATATGCGATTCTGGTGCATACAGGGCAAGGACTTTAGCCACTAAGCTACCACACTGGGTCCTTAAAAATTCGTTTTTAAAGATTTCTTTATTTTACTTGAATGTCAGAGTACAGAAAGAGAGAAAAAGACACAGAGAGATCTTCCATCTGATGGTTCACTCACCAAATGGCTGCAATAGTTAGAGCTAAACCAATCCAAAGATGGGAACCAAGAGCTTCTTCTGAGTCTTTCATGTGAGTGCAGGGGCCCACGGCCTTGGTCCATCCTCTGTGGCCTTCCCAGGCCACCGACAGGAAGCTGGCTTGCAAGCAAGGCAGCCAGGGCATGAACTGGTGCCCACATGAGATGCTGCTGCTTCAAGCCGGGGACTGACATGTTATGCCATTGCGCAGGACCCCAGTGAGTCTGGTTTTTTTTGTTGTTGTTGTTGTTTTTTAGTATGTAGAATGGGAGTTGATATTCGCATGCATTGGGTTAAGCTGCCACCTGAGATCCCAGCATCTTTTATCAGAGTGCTGGTTTGATATCTGGTACTCACCTACAGTTCCCTCCTAATGTGCCTGGGAATGGAGGAGAAGATAACCTGCCACCCACATAGGACCCACGTGGAGTTCTTCACTCCCAGCTTCGGCCTGGCCCAGCCAAAAAAAGGACCTTGTCTACACACAGTTCACCCTGCCTACCTTTTGTCATCTTAGAACTATGGTACAGCTGTCATTGATTCCCTTCTCATACTGGGAAGAGAACGGTTTCATTTACATATTCATTTTACTATGTGATCAAAAGATGTATCCTTTGATTCTAACATGTGCCTGATTCTGTCTTGATTATGAAGTAGAATGATATCTTTGCCATGAATCCCTTTTTCATGTGCTTGAGAGCTGTAATTTTACCTTTTCCCTGAAATTGGTCTGTCAAGACTGTATATTAACTTGGAAAGATGTTCCCCTGCTACCCACAGGGGATGAGCCCAGTTGAGTTCCAGCTCCCATCTTTGACCTGACCTAGCCCCCGTGTTGTTACAGACATTTATGGAATAAACCAACAGATGGGGACTCTGTCTCTCTTTTTTGCTTTTTAAGACTTTTTTTATTTTTATTTTTATTGTAAAGGCAAATTTATAAAGAAAGATCTTCCATTCGCTGCTTCACTCGCCAAATGGCTGCAACAGGGAAGCTGAGCCAACCTCAAGTGAGGAGCCAAGAGCTTTTTCTGGGTCTCCCATATGGATGCAGGGTCCCAGCGCATTAGGGTTTCCTCTGCTGCTTTCCCAGGCCATAAGCAGGAAGCTGGATGGGAAGTGGGACAACTGGGACATGAACTGGCGCCCATATTGGATGCCACACTTGGGGGTAGAGGATTAGCCAGTTGAGCCAATGTTCCAGCCCCTTCTGTCTCAATTTAAAAAGAGAGAGAGAAAGAGAGAGGGAACCCAGCGGGTAGCCTAGTAGCTAAAGTCATTGCCTTGCATGTGCTGGGATCCCATATGGTC